TTATTATTTTAGTTATTATTAAAATTATAATTATTATTTTAGTTATTATAATTTGCTACTAGATGTAGCCTAATGGCTACATCTAGTAGCAAATTACTTAGTATTAATCATTAATTAGCAGAATTATATCCCAATTATTTAGGTGATCATTTGATTATGTTTCTATATACATATTGGTTTTGTGATGTTTGATATAGAGTTACTAAAACATGAAAGTGTTCAATTCTCTCCACTCTATTAATAATCCCAAAAATGATATTATTACTTTGGATGCTCTCTTAAGTGGACTTGACTGTATATATACACAAAAACCTTTTGCATTATGATTATAAGGTCTGTCCCAAAAGTTTAGATAAAATGATTTTTCTTGAATAACTTAAAATACTGAACTTTCAATTGATTTAATAAGTGAAATGAGATCACAATACATCACATTAAATATCATTAAAAAGATAAATTTAACAATTTAATAGTTGACAAGTGTTGAAATAGAAATACACTTTGTGTTAGTGAATCAAAAAAATTTAATAGTTATTAATATTCTTACAAAAATAAAAATTTTGCTAAACATTGTTGTCCCAAAAGTTTAGATAAATTTCAAAAATTACATTGAAAAATTTTTTACGGCTAATTGTACTTCCATTATTTTTAATAACATTGTACACAATTTGGCATTGAATTCACAAGAGTTTGTAACAATTCTGGTTTCAAAGTTATATCATGAATCCTCAGTTGCACATTTAAGTTCTGTAACATTGGAAAACTGACAACCATATTTCTTGTCATGATCCCCATAAGTTTTCTATTGGGTTTAGGTCAAGACTTTTTGCGGGCCATTTCATAACATTCACATTTTGATTCTGAAGGTTTTTTTTTTTTTTTTTTTTACAATAAATGGGAGTGTTGTCTTGTTGAAATGTCCAATTTGGACCATCTATTATTTCTGCTATAGGAAGGAGATGTTGTTCTAAGGTGTCTTGATAATGTTCTGAAGTCTGACATCCAAAAAGAAATGCAAGACTGGAAATTCCATTGAATCCAAATGCTCCCCACACCATTAGAGAGCCACCACCTTGTTGTCTACTGTAAAACACTCAGTCTTCTTTTCTCAATCATGCAAGTAGTAATTTCAGCCATCAGGACCATCTAAGTTCCACTTTTTTTCATCACTGAAGAGTGTAGTTTTTCTTCTTTCTACTGCATATAGCTTTTGGCCTATTCCAATCTTGCTTTAAGATGTTCAGGTTTGAGATGTGGTTTTTTTTACACATCCTTGTTAATTTAATATTAGTATTTTTACTTATTATTGTGCAGTATTTTTATAAATATTTAAGTTAGACTTTCTTAAAACTTGTCTAACTGATAAATTTTGTCTAGATACCAGTCTAATAATACATCTTCCATCTGTGAGTGATGTTACTTTAGGTTGACCTGAATGTGTTGCTGGTTTAAAATTTTCTTTTCTTGCCAAAACTTTATATATTCCTGAAGCTGAATGACCTATTTTGCTTGAAATTTCAGTAATTGAATGTCCACTTGCTTTCAATCTTCAAATTTCAGTCACTTCTGGAGAAAATTGATTTTCTTTGGACATCTTGATTGTTTCATTATTTCTTTGTCAATTCCAAAAATAAAAACGATTATAAAAACGAAATTTTGAGGTTTTATTGTTATCAGTCGTAACTGATGTCATTCATCATGAATTTTTGTATTAATTTGCTCAGAAACAAATAAAATATTATTATTACCTAAACTTTTGAAACAGCAAAATCTAACAAAATTTCTATTATTCTAAGCAATTTAATAACTATTAAACCTTTAAATTTATTATTTTAATGACATTTAGTATGATGATTTAATAAGACAAATGAGGTCACAATGCAATTGAAAGTTTAGTA